AGTGAATATTGTCACTTAATGCAACTTTATTAACGAAAAAGGGACATATAGATCACCTTATTGATAAATCCAATCGGCTTGTTCTAATATAAGAGCATAAAATAGAGATGCAGAAAAAAAAAGCTGTATACATTCTCATCGATATATGGAAGACTTTAGGAAGCAAAGCGCTGGCGTTTGGGGAATCTGGGAGCGCTCACCAAGGTAACTTTGTTGCAATAGTGAATTTCATGTCTCGCAACAATCCCACACTAAAAGCTTTGATTGAAAATAGAGCCCTTCATCTATATAGAGTTACATACACTATTCTATCATCTCAAAATGAAATGATTAGTTTAATTGCAACTGAATTGAAAAATCAGATCATTAATGAAATTAATAGCTCCTATTTTTTTTTCTGTGATAGCCTATACTACTTCCGATATGTCGCACAATGACATAATGAGTATAGTTGCGAGAACGGCCAGTGAAGACGGTGAGATTCGAGAAAGACTTTTGAAATCAGCAGAATGCGCTGATAACAATTGAAAAGGGATGGCTGAGGTAATTTTATCTTTTTTACATAAAGAAGGCATTGACACATCAAAGATGGCCTTTTAGTTGTTTGACTATGCGATTTCAATTTCTGGGCAGTTCAAGGGAGTATAAATGTATATAATAGAATAAGTTGGCTATAATATGCCCTTCATACCTTGTCATGACCACAAAAAAGACGCTGCTTTTGAACACGTCTGCAATGTCAATACTTTAATACAAGAATTGCTTAATGACCGCTAATATTTGCATGTTTTCTTTACATCAAGTACAAAAAGATTTAGTTGTTTAAAGGAAGAACTTGAAGACGTTTTTAATGCAATACAGCTTAGAAACCTGTCTAGAACAAGGGGACCGCACAAGCAAAGTCTTTCAAGACTCTAAATCAGTATTTAAAGACGGTTATTGATATTCTTCAGAGTATCTCAAATAATAAGATTTTTGATTCTAACACGAGAATTAAGGCAATGGGTCCAAAAAAAGTAAAAACTTTTGATTTTATTATTACCCTTTTCTTCATGAAGAATATCATTGAGAAGATAAAAAGATTAAAAATATTAAGCACTGCTTAGAACCTACAAAATATCAATAACGACACAGATGTTATGAATGATTTGATTAAATATGCAGTGATATTTTCTAGAAAATTGCAGAAAACGATTACGGACGACACCATAGATTAACATCAATAGAGATGAATGCTTTTTACCAGAAAAAATTCAAAGAGGTCATAGACTCTTTAACCATGAGTATAACCAAAAACTCTGCGTCTTTAAAAGAATTATTTGCCCCGATCACCATAATCTTTAATTTTCCTTTAAATAAGGATAATTTGAGTATTGAAACCTTAACATAAGCAAACAAACTATTTCCGCCTAGATACGAGGATCAAATTCCAGACGTTCATGTGCTAAAAATTCAGATAAAAATTTTGATAGAATTCTGATTAGAAGAAGGCGAGGAAGAGTTTAAGTCGTCAAAAACAGCAGGTAAGACGTTGTAAAACATTTTGGACCCATGGTAAAATAACTAGATTTTTGGTATTAATTTTTTGAGAATAAGATGGATTTGTGTAGTATTTTTAATTTTTAGCAATATGTGATTATTGTTTTCAGGATTGTCCATTTTCAGTAAAAATCTTAATAAGAAAATTGATTTCATCTTGAATGTTAAGTTCTGAATGTATGCTGAAATGTTAAGTTCAAAAAATGTATGCTCTAGCTAAAAAACCTTTAAAAATACCAACTGCAATACTCGGTGAAATAGATGATTTTGGTTTTATAAGTACGTTTGTAATTGCATATTTACGGTGTATGGAAGACGAACGAAATCGAAAGTTATCCTCAGCTGTTCTCGCCAGTTTGGAAGAATAAAAAATGCAATAAGCGCAAAAATACCTCTTGAGTTCCACCTGGCACTGTGCAGTGCTGGAGCTTGTGCCATTTGATACGAAGCCATTTTTCCTCATTTTTGTAAAACTTGTATGCTTCGCAAAGCTGAAAAAGAAATTTAAAGTCATCTCTCCAGCCAAGATTCTCATACTCTGCTACCACTGCTGTGCTCTTGTAGGCATTTTTTAAATCATCGTAATGCTCCATAATCTCATCTATAAATTTGTAGTTAATGTTAGGCGACTGTGGCTGTATAGGAAAAAAGAAATCCAACACATGTCGTAGAACAAGATCAAGAATGTGGTGTTGGCAGCCGATGTATTGAGGTTCATCGAATCCCTTGTCTCGAAATGTTTTCTGAAGCTTGGCTACAACTTCATTCTTGCGACTAGTATTTACAGCTGTTGTGTCAGAGATGATCATCTGAATACTGTTCCATGCATTGTAATCATCAAGTAGGTCCTGTAGTGGTTTATATATGCTTGCAGATAATCCACTGTCACAAACCAAAATGCCAAGTTGTAATGTTCTTTTGTCATTTTTCAAGCACACAACTTGGTACTCAGTCTTGCCAATTTTCTTACCATTAAAATGCAAAAAAAAATTCTATTCAGAGATCAGTTCCATGAGGCGGTTCTTAACTTGTTCTGCATCTCTGATTGTTTAACGCCAGACTCCAGGCTGTGATGGTGTTGGGACACAAACTCCATCCTCAGCCAGACTGTGAAGCACCCGTGACGTTTTTCTGGTTAACAAAGAGTGACTAGACACTAGTTTGGCAGCAGACTTAGTTGACTGGCATGTTGAACGCTTTCTGCGAGATTCTCCTGGAACTGCCTCCGAGTCACCACTGCTGCTTCCTTCCTCAGAATCCTCACTATCGCAGGAAAGTGGTACGGAGATAACTGCTTGGTTTGTCGAGGGTTCTGATGTGCTTTTGGCCCTTTTTGATGGATGGATTGTTGACATAGAAGCCACTTTCATAGTTGTATATCCCACCCTGCCATTTGATTCAATTTGGACTTTGTACAGTTGTTTGTCCTCACTACAAAGCCAATTTCCATCTGATTTTGTTATATCGAATAGATGAGCAAGATTTTCTTACTGCATTTTTTTCTTAAGTACTGCATTTGGTCGCTTTCTGTGTTTCTCAAATGATGTGATAAGTTTGTAAACATTAGCAGACACTTGTTGTTTGGAAAGAACAGGAAAATTAAACTTCTGCCAAACATTCATCAATTCCTCGGATATTTTTAGTTATTTGTTTTTAGATATTGTTAGTCGATCATGTCGTCCTCTCAATTCATTAAAGAGTCCCAAGAATCTTCCAACGATATCTCTGTTGGAAGACATTTTACACAATTTGTCGCTCATATCCTGTTTTACCTGTGGTATATTAGGACGGCGCGCCGTCCTAATATACCGCGACGCTTCGTGCTTGATTTCAAATTTTGTGTCCATATTTCAACAGCTGCTTCCACTGCTGATTTTGACTTTTTACTTTTAAAGGACATATTTTTAAAAAGAAGCACTAAACAGCAGATCTTGCAAATTAATACTGCAAATAATGAAAAAACTTTTTAAATACTTCTACTCAATATTTTAATAGCGCGAATATTAAAAAATACTCAACAACAACAACAAACGCGCATTAATTTGAAAAACAGTCGTT